CTGCAGTGAGAGCAGAGTGCTGGGAACAAATGAACGCGGCCCGCAACCATGTCGGCTTCGCTGAACTCACCCAAGAAAATATATTCAAAATTAATGAAAATGACTGGACCCGCTCTGTCAACACGCTCGAGAATTACCTGAGCACAGTCTGCAAAGGCATCAAAACTGTGAGGCTTGGTTCTGGAACTATCTTTCGCGTGTCTTGTAGGATTGGATAGCTCAAGCGGTACAGGCGGTACCAGCCTGATGTACACACCTAGACACACGCACATACGCACACATCACATTCAAGCAGCCAGGATACCGCACCATGGATCTTTCGCTCCTTTTCTGCTGTACACTGCGTATTGCGAACAGGACAAACTGCCTGACGAGTTGACCCCAATCGAGGGCACCGTCGCCTACGCAGTTCAAGAAGGGGAACAGGCTGATTGCCAGGCTGCCGTGGACTACTGGAAGGAAGCCCTCACAAACTTCAACGGGGAGGTGCCACCAGCATATGGAGCAAACGCTGCACCTTACGACAACACCCAAAATGTCTCCTTCATTTCACTGTTCAATCCACAAGCAAATCCTAAGGTTGACTGCGCGTACTTCGTCTGCCCTGCATCAACACAGAACGCCAAGGAACAGCAGGGAAACACTAATACCGACAAGAGCATGAATGCGTTGATTTGCGTTACTTCGCCCAGCGCCTTGACAAATAGCCAAGAACCCTTTACGTAAGCACCATTTTGCAATGACTGTCATGCATGTTTCGCGGTTTCATGCATGTTGTTTGGCTGCCTCAGCTTGAGCTGTCATGGAGTTCTGGGGGAGTGGCTGTGTGCTTCAGGAAAGAGCAGTGGAACAAAATTACTGCGGCTCTCAACTCCAGTAGTGCCGCATCAGCAGCACCAGCGGCTCTTGCCCTTGCTGCCGCTGCATTTGCCGCAGTTTTCCTCTGAACATCTTCTGAACTGGCGGAGAGGAGTTGCAGCATATGCACAGCCAGCTTGAGTTTCAAGTATCAAGCAAAGACGAGTCCCACGTATCTGAGCTGTGTGCGGCTTAGGTGGGCTAGTTCTTTTTCTTTAGACTCTTGTTTTGATAGCAACGTTTTAGTCTGCAAATGCTGCCTGTTTAGCCAAGCCATGGTGCATGCGCGACTGCCGTTTCACCGACCTGGTGCCGGCTGAGCATGAACACAAGGAATCGGAAGCTTCTGGCTGGGGTGACTGGATCCTTTTGCTTCCTTGTTACTTGTACAATCAACCTACAATATTCAGTAGGGGCATACAAGAAGAAGGCAGGAACCGTCAAGCGGCTGACTGAGTGATTATTTCGCAATTATGTGTCAAATTAGGCATGTTTTGCTTCTGAGTGGAATAGTTTCAAGTAGGCTTGCTGTTGCTGCATAGACAGAGTTATGCAGATGTAGTGGCCCACAGCGTCGGTTACTTCGGTGGAAAGGTGGGAGCGTTTGAACCAGCAAGCCGAGCAGTTTTAGATCAGCCGATGCTGGTTCTTTCCTATGCTCGAAGATGCATATTTGTGCGCGAGGCAATGCAAGAAACGGAGCAAGACAGTGATGAGACGTGCGTCGCGTAGTAGACGAAGCTGGGGTTGCCATAACTCATTACGATTCTCCGTAAACGAGCTTATAAATAGCAAGCTAATGCTTAAAAGCAAAATGCGCATGCTCAGCTGTGATGAAGTTACGGACAAGTAGCCGGAGACGGATACCTCAAGCGCCGGGGGCGACACTGCTGGGCTTATTTGTAGTTGTCATGATGAACTCCCGCAAAGAGCTTGCTCCCAGAGCAAGCCCCTACTGCCCACGTTGGGAGATACCTACCACTATTGCCAGGTGGTCAGTCAACGACTACTCGAGGAAAATGTGCCCGATGGTGGACCACGGCCGTCGAGGTTTCGATGCCACTTCATTGAATGCCGCGGGACTCAGAGACAGCCATTACATAAGAAGGCCAGATTGTTATGAATGCTTCTGAGAGGAGTTAACCATGTGCTAAATACTTTGCGGTGGAGGTTCTCAATGCGGGTAGCATGTCTCGACGTCTGAGGCGTACGGGGTCAACGGGATAGGGGAAGCCGTGTGTGTAGAGCCGCGGTTTGTGGGAAACTGTCGTATATCTTCAGATGCATTACTGCTGAACTATGTCACCCAGAAGAGCTGGGGCAGGAGATCCGGAGACTGCGAATGCAACGCCTGAGATGAGCATAAACTCAACGGATGCGGGGCAAATCCCAACCCTGCACTGGGATCTCCCACCGAGACAACGCGCAGTCCAGGGTTAGACATTAACACAAGCTTATATGCCGTAATATACGCTTAATATATGTAAGTATGTAAGAAGCATTCGACAGGTCACGCCAGCTTGCAATTCGGCTCACTTGTGGTTCAGTGGGGAAGGGCGTTCTCACAGCATGATATACGTTGCGACGTACGCGCCAGTAGGAACGCGCAAAACACTATTCTTACACTGCTTTCGATAAAAAGTTTGGGATCATTTGAAATTTCGTAATTACCCGGAGAACCACCGTGGACCAGAGTATGGACCGGACCAGCAGCCCCCTGACGGGAGGGACTGTGGCAGGCGTCCCAGCTCTCGCTGAGTCTCCCTCAGCATATGGATCGTTTGTCGCTAGAAATTGCAGCCAATACTGAAATTGATCACGACAATTTTATATTTATTCACATCCCGTTAGCTTGACAGTTTTAATTCTCGTTTTGAGAATGCCTGTCCTGAAGTTCCTGTCGGTGGCGGCCGCCGCCATTTTCTTCTCAGATATCAACTCGGCATATGGTGCCGATATAAGTCCTGGGGGAACTATCGAGACTCCTGAAAATCAAGGAAGTTCTAATGATAACGAAAATGAATCTGGTTCAGGATCCGGAGGTGCTGAAGATGATACTGCCACTAATAAGGCCGGTATGCCCCCAGTAAATTCACATAATTTTGCTCCAAACAAAAGAGTCGAGCAGGCTTGAAAAATATTATTGCTGATGATTTGCTGCAGTGAGAGCAGAGTGCTGGGAGCAAATGAACGCGGCCCGCAACCGTGTCGGCTTCGCTGAACTCACGCACGAAAAGAGATTCAAAATTACTCAAGATGACTGGCCCCGTTCCGTCTCCACGCTCGAGGATTACCTGAGCACAGTCTGCAAAGGCATTAAAACTGTGAGGCTTGGTTCTGACACTATCTTTCTCTTGTATTGTCGGATTGGACAGCGCAGGCGGTACGAGCCTGATGTGCACACCTAGACACACACACGCACACGCCACATACAAGGAGCCAAAATAATGCTCCCTTTATGTCTCCTTCCTCTACTGGAGTCCGTGCATTATGAACAGAACACAGCGCCTGAAGGATTGACCCCAGTCGCAGGCACCGTCGCCTACGCAGTTCAAGAAGGCGAACAGGCTGATTGCCAGGCTGCAGTCGACTACTGGAAGGAAGCCCTCACAAACTTCAACGGGGAGGTGCCACCGCCATATGAAGCAAACGCTGCACCTTACGACAATACCCAAAATGTCTCCTTCATTTCCCTCTTCAATCCCCAAGCAAATCCGACGGTTGACTGCGCATACTTCGTCTGCCCTGCAGCAAAACAAAAGGCCAAGGAGAAAGACGGAAATACTGAGACAGACAAGAGCATGAATGCTTTGATTTGCGTTACTTCGCCCAGCGCCTTGACAAATAGCCAAGAACCCTTTACGTAAGCATCATTTTGCAATGACTGTCATGCATGTTTCGCTGTTTCATGCATATTGTTTGGTTGCCTCAGCTTCCGTTATTTTGGAGTTGTGGGG